TGGAGCAGAGCAGGGCTGTGCTGGGCTCGGTTTTTAGGCGCGGGTAGTTGTCGCAGAGCCTGCTTTTGTTTGCTGCTACTGGTGGTGCAAATCATAATTACTGCTGATTTTAAAGGATATTGCCCTTTCCAGTGTGCAGGGACAGGCGTGATGTACGGGTGCATGATAGATTCGATGTGCTCGTGACAGATGTGGAGCTTTGATGTTCAGTTGGAAGATAGCCCCCTTCTCTCTTTCCAGGGGATGGAGAAATATCTTTGAGGTGTGGAAAACACCTTAAAATGTTTAAAAGGTCGATTCTCTTCCTTCTGCCAGCCTTCTCCAGCTGGTCAATCCCTTTGGCCACGTCAGAACCCTTCCTGCCTTATCTGCCCTGACTCTATAAATGTGTACAGACCTCGAGTGCAAGGGATGTCGGTGGAAACACCTGGTCAGAGCAGTTAATCACGTCCTTATTTCATTTCCCTGTGGTCTCGAGGCCCATTATATGGTAATAGTTTTGTTTACCCAGCCTCCTACGTAATTCCTGGTAATACTTAAAACAGGCCAAACAGGAAGATTGGGCATTGCAACTCTGACTCCTCATCACGTGTAGTCGTCTTGGTGTTCCCCAGCCCTGCATGTGAATCCAGCGTGCTGGTCAGCAGATACCAGCAGGACCAGTGGTGCTTTCACTATTGCACAACTGAAAACTCACGTATCCCAGAGTGTGATTCAGCTTCTTTTGATGCGCTTCCCTGAATGCTGAGCAGTAGTGAGACACATCTTCTGTTTCATGGAAAGGTATTAGAAATACAAATGAGATGCAGATATTAGTGCTTTATGTTTGGTGAGCTTTTAGCAGTAAGAGCAGTGTCCTCCACCAATGTTTATGCACTGTGATTTTATTCTAGCAGTATGTGTTTTGCTTGTTTGAGACGTTCTGTATTGCAGAATTCCTGTACTCATGAAGAAGCTCGAACTCTGCGTTGTTCCACGGGAAGTCTTTCCTGGGGAGAACAAGGGGATTTTACAGTGGTTTTTGTTCTCAAATTGACCTGGAAACGTGTTAGAGATAGAAGGTTAAAATTCAGTAGCGGGAGGAGACGGCAGTGCCTTGCCTTTGTGTTTCCCTTACTTGCAGGTGGTATTGTTGCACTGGGAAGATCGATTAGCAGTGAACCTAGCAAGAGACTGTGTGTTTGGGGTTTTCTTGGTTTTTTTTTGTTTCAGAAGAGGAGGAACCAAGCCTAACAGGATGGGGCAACACCAGCAGACCAGTCAAATGCAGATACATGAGCAGGGAACTGAAACAAAGGGGCAGGCTTAGCTTTGGATCAAAGCCTCATTGCTGGATGTAGTGCTGCTCAGCCTGTCCCTCAGGCAGTGCAGATGAGCATTAATAACCCAGCAGATTCTACGCTGTAGACTGGCTGGTGAAGTCATCCGAGGTGCTTTACCAAGCCATGGTATGTTTTTGTTCAGCCAGGCTAGGAACTCGCTGCCTTACAGGGTCCTTGCTTTCAGTGTGTCTTCCCACAGCTGAGGTGACACTGGTGGGAGTCTGTGTGCTGGTGGCCACATGGTGAATCTGCCCTAATTCTCAAGGTTACACTTCTTTGACGTAGGCCTTTCCCTAGAGGAACTGCAGATCCTCTGCAGAAGAAATGTGTCAGGAGCAAGCAACACAATCGGGAAACAGCACTGCACGCTCGGTGCTGGGATGGTCCTGGGTGAGGTGCTGCACCGGGTTGTGGTAGCACTGTTGAAGGACAGACCTTCTAATCCATTTTGTCTTTCCTTTCCAGTGACAGGATGCTGTTCCCCCTGCCTCTGCGGGTAGCCTGCAGTCTGCTTGCCTGGTTCTCTCTCTACATTTGGTTTTGCCATCGCTACAAACACCGCAATTCTGAATGGAGCTGCAGGCTGGTCACACTGACCCATGGCATTCTTGCTACCTGTCTCTCTGCTTACATTGGCTTTATTGATGGTCCATGGCCTTTGAGTCACCCAGGTAAGTAATGAAAGTTGTGGTCCCAAGTTCACCTGTGGTTGATGGCACGAAGTGAGTTTCTCCTGCCACCCCAGTATCCAGCCCACTTGACAAATGATGATTGTAATGATACCTGAGTTACTTTGTGATGAAAAATACTAGAGAAATGGAGAGACTGGTACTGTATTTTGCTAGTGTAATGGTCCTCTGCAGCTGCGATCTGGCAGAGTATGTGGTCACGTTGTGTGGCCATTACGTGTGTGCAGCTGTTGGATTAACAGCTCCAGTATTGTGACTTGTCTGACTTCTCCATCTGAGCTGTGATCAGTACAAGCTAATACTAGCCTGGCAGTGCTCAAGGTGAATACCCCTTCCTTGTCTCAGATGCTGCCTGCCTGTTGCCTCCGTGCTTTAAAGCTTTGTCTGGTGTCTTTATGTTTCAGGATCACCAAACACAACTCTTCAGGTACATGTGCTGTGCCTTAGCTTGGGCTACTTCCTCTTCGACCTGTGTTGGTGTGTGTACTTCCAGGCAGAGGGTGCCCTGATGCTGGCCCACCATCTGGTGAGCATCTTGGGCATCACAGCATCACTGGCACTCGGGGAGTCAGCTGCGGAGGTCAATGCCGTGATCTTTGGTAGTGAGATCACCAACCCGCTGCTGCAGGCCCGCTGGTTCCTGAAGGAGATGGGATGTTACCACAGTTTCACAGGCGATGTGGTGGATTTCTTCTTCGTGGTTCTCTTCACTGGGGTGCGGATCGGAGTGGGGGCCTGGCTGATGTACTGTGAGCTTGCTTCTCCCAAGCCCAGGTGGTACATTAAGCTGGGTGGCGTCATCATGTACGCTGTCTCCTGGGTTTTCATGGTCAGCATCTGTCGCTTCGCTAGGAGGAAGAGCATGAAGAAGTACCATGCCTGGAGGAGTCGGAGGAATGATGAATTATGCTTGAAAACTAACGGACACCTGAAAAACAACTGACAGGATGCTGAATAAAGACTTCCTCGAGTTCACAATCTGGCAAGAAGGGGATCGTGCCTGAAATGCCACTGTCGGGAGAGGAGCCAACACACGTTAATAATTCTAGAGCCAAATTTATCCCTGGCATAACTCCACTGAAATCCATGGAGCTATGCCATGGATTCATTGGACCTGCAGTGTTTGGCCTGGCAGGGGCTGACTCAGCGTGTATGTAAGCGTGAGCTCAATGATGTGTTAAAGAAGGGCTAATTTTACAGACTAAACGAACTGCACCAGCAGCGCAGGTGTAAATAGTGATGTTAGTAGCTAACTCCTTCAGCACAGGTAGAATCTTGGCAGAGAGGTGGAAATAACACTAGATCTTCATGTTCAGTGTCCTGTACAGTCTAGACAGTAAGAGTGACTCTTCATATTGTTAGGAAGAAGCATGTTCTAGTGTTTCGTCAGAGTTGGGATTCCTGGTTCTTCCACCAACTTGTTATGTGACCTTGGGCAAGTCATGTAACTCAATCTCTGTGCCTAATTTCCCCATCTGTGAATTGGGGGTGATGGAGCTGATCCATCTGTGTTACGCACTTTCAGATCTTTACTTGAGAGGTGCTATATAAATGCAAACTGATGGTTGTTATCTGCACTTTGTTCATTATCCCTGTGTTTCCTTTGGGAGAAACTATTTTGGCGGTTGAGCTAGAATGTGACTCTAGAAAGAACAGTATTTTAGGTAGGTCGTTGTTTCCTACCCTTTCTAATTCCTTTTAATAACTTATTAAATAACATGCTGATAACTTATTTTTTTCAGTAGTGTCCAGAGGCTCTAATGAGCACTGGCGCATTGCAGGACCAGGGTGCTCTGTGAACACACCCAAAGACACAGCCCTTGACTTGAGAGAGACTTTTCTTACAGCCTAATATATAAAGAAGCGAGAATCATAGAATCTGGCTTTTTTTAAACAAAAAAGTGAACCTGACTGGGAGAAAAAATAAGCGTTACTTTCCTGGTCCCATTGACAGGGGAAAACTGCCCCCCCACTTGGCAGCTTATGGATTCATTTCACTGTATGTTCTTAAGTGCTGTTCCTTTGTTATTCCTGTCATTATGATGATTTATTCTGAGCCTCAGCATCAGGCCTCCAGTGCAGCTCAGGTGCCAGTTCTGCTGTGAGCCTTGCCCGTTGCAGCCAAAGACCTGAAGAGCCCAAAGCGCTTCAGATTAGCAGAGCCAACTGGTGGGTGAGCTGGTCCTGAAAAGGAAACTTGACGCATTTAGCACAGCACAGTGATATGACTAATGAGCCTTGAAGGGACACAGGAAGGGCTCCTTGGGGCTTGCTGATTTTTTCTCGGCTCTGCTGTTGCTGTTGGGCATGTCAAGGAGTCTTCTTGCCTCAGCTTACCCACTTTATTAAGTAGGTACAATATTAGCTACCTCGTGGGGTGTTTTCATTTAACACTAAGCCGCCTTTGATGAACACTTGGTGGTGTGTGTCATGCTCTGAGTGAAGCACTTCTCACTGTGGCCCATCACCAATACTTTGTCACCTGAACATGGCGCTTTGCAGCATCTAGCTTGCCTGACAGCAGGAGTCCAAGGTATTTTGCAGTGGTATTTATGTGTAGGAGTCAAAAGGAATAAGCTAGACATGCATGTAAAGGTTAGCTGTGCTGCTTCTTGTTCAGGAAGACTCCCAAGTTGAAGAAAGCATGCCTAGTGGGTTTGGATCCGAAAGAGTTTCAGCAGGCAGCTTGACCAGGGAATAAGGGCTTTCAGCAGCAAGTCCTAAAGAAAGGTAGGTGAAAATATGCTGTTGATTTCCATGTGCACCTGCTGACTTGCCCACCAAGAAGAGCTTCCTGAGCAGTCTTGATAGTTGGACTCTGACCTCTACTGCAGTTTGCTGTGCAGCTTAATTCATGGTTGCAACTCGTCTATGGGGTTTATACAGCCAATACCTGCCCAAGTGAATAAGGATGTCAGTTAGTGACTGCGGGTAGCTATGAAACACCTTTTTTGAAGGATAATGCAATTAATCGTCCCCTCCTTTAAACCGGGGGGAAACTTGATTGGAAGAAGTAGGGCACTGTGATCAATATTGAGGCTTTAGAAGTTAAACAAGGGCACCGGAAAACATAAGGACAATTAGGAATGGCTTTATGAAGTAGAGCTAGCAACAATGTCTCTGAGCAAGGCCTCCTAGTCTGTCTACTAGAAAGACCCAGAAATATAACTTCCAAGATACAGAGCACATGGTGGGACCTGTCCTCAGGCTAGTCTGTAGTGGCTAGAGCAAATTATAAAAGGAAACTGCAGAACTAGTGTGAAATAATAACTTGTGTTTGAATTACTGTGTAATAGCAACTAATGTTCCACCAGTGAATGGTGTAGATGCTTTGTATTATGTTTTGTAAAATAAAGATTATTTAATTATTTGAGGAATTTGTTTTCTCTCTTTGGATGCAGCTCTAGTGTTGTGCATTGCTGGGTGAGTCGACATTGCCAGTGCAAATGAACAAAATGATGGTTGGTGGGTGCTTTTTAGCGTCTGAGCTAACACCTTGTACAGCTTTTGCCATTATTGTTTTTTAGACATGTTAACAGGCAGAGAAACCACTTGCTGCTGTAGAGATGAGCCAGTCAGCGCTGTGCAAAGGTGCACATTTAATCTGGGCTCTGAGTAGTACTAGTCTGTCTCTCTGTGTGTCTGCTGTGGTGTTACTGCTTATGTCCTGGGGAGCTGCCTTCATTCAGAGCCAGAGAGAAACTGCAGAGCTGTGCAGCAGCTGAGAGCTCTGTATATCGTGTTCTGTTCATGCCCTAGAGCTCCCTGGGCAGGACTGACTGCGCCACATAATCAGCTGTGGGAGATGTGAGCTGCCAGGAGGATGTTGTGCAGGGCTCAGGTCTGTCTGCACAGGGGCTTCTTTTGCCCTTGATGCGATAGCTTAGCACTGGGAAAGCCACCAACACGCAGAATTGTTTTCGGGTGATTTAGAAAGTTGTACACTCCTTTTAAAAGCTCTGCTTCAATGGATGCTCCTAAAATAAGAGGAGAGGAAAACATTTCTTTCAGTCATGCTTTTAGCAATTGCACCAAGAGACCCAGGTGCCAACAAGAATCTCTGTGAACCAGGCATCGTACGGACTCGGAACAGAAGAAAGGCCCTGCTCTGCATGGTGTGTACCAGCAGCTCAAGAAAGAACCATAGTGTTATGCTGGTAAGGAATAGCTCCTCTGCCTTGCTTATGGTCACAGCATTTTGCCAGAGATCCAGCATGCCAAAAGTCTGGTATCTATAAATAGTTAAGCCAATTTAGCTGTTTGGATGTAACCCTTAAATGTACCTCAGAATCCTCCAGCGCTGGGGAGCAGCTGTGCAGCGTTGAGCCCTCTAGAGATGCTGGCCCGTTTACGCTCTACAAGCAGCCTGGCTGTGTGATGAAGGGGTCTCAGGGACTGCAACAATTTATGCTGGGAGTTTGTTTAACCTCTGAGATAGTCCACAAGCACAAAAGAAAGTAGAGCATTCTGAAGCTTTGCTCCTCATGTTCCAGGGAGAATTCAGCAGCTGCTAAATTGGCAATGTAAGGGATCTTTAGAAAATTTATGAAGGCACTAACCAGATCAAGGTGCATGGAAAAGCTTTTGCCAAGCATGAATGATTTAAGAATGATGATATTCTCCATCTCTTTAGCTTTTACCCTAATAATAATTACTTTCTGTTTTTCTAATCCCCCCTTCAATTAGAGGACATCAGTTCTAGCAGAGAGCAAGGAGGAAACTCATGACAGAATGTACTGCAGCTTGCTTCGCCTGTCCTTACAAAGGTTGCTGCTTTAATTATGTTCATACGGAAAGAAAGCTTAGTGTGATAAAAATGCTTACTGTGATGTGGATTATCCAGGTTTAGGAACTGTAATAAGCCGTCACAGTGGAAGCTCTGATAGGTTAGGCTATCTGTGTCTCAACAAAGTCAGCAAAGTACTGCATTTGTGCCCAAGTGACTTAAAAGCATAGACCAGCCTTTATGCATTTCGAGTGAACTGGATGCAAGTAGCAAATCATATGCCTGTTTAAGGTATGAGATGGTAAAAGACTTTGAAATTGCATAGCAACAGGGAGCACAGTACAAAGCCACAGAATCACAGAATGCTAGCCATGAGTGTTTTTTTTTTTTAACCAAATTACAGTTGCATCTAGCAACTCAGTTAAAAGCCCATCATGTCTGATTTGGGGTACACAATTTATAAAGGTATCTGTTCTTTACTTGAGTTCTGCAGGAGACCCACTGCACTCACAGGTAGGTTGCTCTAATGGCTGATTATCCTATCCAAACTGTTGTGAAGGGAAATTTTCCTGAAAGAAGAAATTATTACATTCACAGTTTGTTCATACTGAAAGTGTATACACGCTATTAGAGGCAAGGCGGTGTGGTAATCCTGGCGCCAGGGAGTGAAAAATGTATTGTCTTTCGCTATATCCTACTTGTGTTTGCACCATTGCGGTGCAAACCCTTTGCCAGCAGATGGCAACAGCTCCTCAGTGAGCTGGGGTGCGAGGCTGGAGAACGGGGTCTTCGCAAAAAGCATCTCTGCAAGTGCCGTATAAGGCACCTCCAAGGATGTGTCCTTTTCGTGCCATCCTTTAGGTAAAGTAAGAAGTTATACTATGTAGGTCTCAGCCTTCCTCACGTCAGGGTCCACGTTACTTGAGCCACTTAGCTCTGGACTGTGAAATACAGAGCGTTGGGGTCATTGGTGCTTTGCCCTGGAGACACAGACTGATGAAGTTAATCGGGTTTCCTCTTCTAGCATCTCTGCCTGTGTGACAGCACTGTCTGTAAATTGAGGCTAAGTGATGGCTTTAGAGCTACAAGAAAAAAGATCTCTTTTAATTGGTACTGCACAGTGTAATTGCTTATTGATTTCCCCATCCTCTGTGTAAAACTGCCCAGGCAGCAGAAGTATCATAAATAGGCATCTATATTAAGACAAGTATGCAGTC